GTTCCAGCTACTTGGAAGGCTGAGGTGGAAGGATCGCCGGGGCCCAGCAGGTCGAGGTTGCGGTGGCCGGGAGCATGCCACTGCACTCCAGTCTGGGTGACAGAGTGAGACTCCAAATCAAAAAAGAAAGAAAGAAAGAAAGAAATGAAAATGCTCTTCTAGATAAAACACTGGTTTTGCTAGCCAGTATTTGCAAAGGAAGAGTGGGAGAGAGGGAGGGAGGAAGGGAAGGAGGGAGGGAGGAAGGGAGGGAGGGAGGGAGGGAGGGATTGTGCATCCATCCCAAAATCATCCCAGTGCCTATGCTACACTACATATACCTGGATGTAGATGCTGGACATACAGCAAAAACCACCACAAAATCTCTGTCCTCAGAACTTACACTGCAAGGGACAATATAATTTTAAGATAGTGACACTGTCCAATCCAGGAGAGTCTCTTCTGGTCAAGATGGACTCATAAGAACTGGATTTACTATCATGCCTGAAACAACTAAAACATAAAATCTATGAAGCAACAGCACAAGACAACGGACATCAGGTCCCAAAAGACAGTGATCCCTGAGAGAATGCAACCAGGGAGCCCAGCTCACTATCTGGAGAAATATCCAGGGCCAGGAGCAGGGATCCAAGTAGAGGGGAGGGTGTGAGGAAAGGGGAGGAGAAGGGAAGGGGGAGGAGTGGGGGAGGGGAGAGAGACGCAGGTGAAAATAAGCCAGGTCTGCAGAGGGTCTCTCCTGAACACCCCAAGATACAGAGCTCTGCTATCCCTCCAGGAAGATTTATCATGCCCCTCTACAGTTGGTCCCTGATAATACCACCCCTCCAACATAGTAACCATTTTCAGAATTCCTCCACAATAGATTAGTTTTGCCTATTCTAGAAGTTCATACAAAACGTAATCATACAGGATGCTCTGAGCAGGAAGAGAAATCTTGCTTCTTTCATTCAGCCTGATGCTTTTGTTGCATGTGTGAATGGTGTGTTCCATTTCATTGCTGAATAGTTATATACTCCATAGATATACTCCAATTCTGTTAATGGACATTTGGGCTGTTTCCTTCTGTTGCTGTTACTATAAAACTGCCACGAATATTCTTATCCACATGTTTTTTACAAGCATCTCTTTTCATTTCTTTTGTGTAAATACCCAGGAGTGGTATGGCTATTATTAATCATTATTCTTATAATATAACAATAATTATATATTATTATTATATTATAGGGTAAACGCTATGTCTGACATTATGAGAAACTGATTAACTAAATTTCACAGTGGCTGCACTGTTCTGCACTGCTACTAGCAATGTATAAGAATTCTGGGCCAAGTGCAGCAGCTCACACCTATAATCTCGGCACTTTGGGAGACTGAGGTAGGAGGAATGCATGAGTCCAGGAGTTTGAGAATAGCCTGGGCAACATAGTGAGACCTCATCTCTACAAAAACAAAAACAAAAACCTTAGCCAGGCATGGTGGTGCGCACCTGTGGTCCCAGTTACTTGGGAGGCTGAAGCGGAAGGATCACCTGAGGCCAGGAGGTCGAGGCTGTGGAAAGCCACGATCATGCCACTGTACTCCAGTTTGGGTGACAGAGATTCCAACTCAAAAAAAAAGAGAGAGAGAAAGAGAGAATTCTGGTTAACATACATTCTCACCAACATCTGATGTCAGTCTTTTAAATTTTAGTCATTCTAGTGGGTGTGTATGGTTCTAATCTGTATCCCTGACAACTAGTGATGGTGTTGAATAATTTTATGTGTTTTATTATCCTTTTGCCCATTTCTTAGTTTGCTAGTTTTATTTTACTATTGAACTGCTTATGTATTCTAAAAGCCTTCATCAGATATGTGGTTTTTTGGGGGGGTTTTTGGGGTTTTTTGAGTTGGAGTCTCACTCTGTCACCCAGACTGGAGTGCAGTGGTTGCTCCCGACCACCGCAGCCTCGACCTGCTGGGCTCCAGCGATCCCTCCGTCTCAGCTTTCCATGTAGCTGGAATTACAGGCATGCGCTACCATGCCTGATTTTTTGATTTATTGTAGAGATGAGGTCTCGCTGCCCAGGCAGGTCTTGAACCCGTGAACTCAGGCAATCCACTCACCTCAGCCTCCCAAAGGTGCAGGATTATAGGCTGAGCCACCAAGCCCGGCTTAGATACATGTTTTACAAGTATTTTCTTCCTTTTCACTTTATTAATGGTGTCTTTGATAAAAAGAAGTTTTGAATTTTGATGAAATCAATGCTTTTTCTGTTATTTTTTTTATATGTCTAGCTAATTTTTCATCTCTCCATGCTTGACTGTAAGGGCATGGCTTACTTTGTCCATCCTTATATCCCAAGAGCCCAGAACAGTTCAAAGTATTTGTAAGGTACTAGAATGAATGAACACTTCATTGTAATTTAAGAAATGTCTGATATCTAGGTATTTACAGGTAAAATGAAAAATGTCAGAGATATGCTTCAAAATGGTCCAGAAGAGGGCCACAGTGGAGCTATGTGGTGACAGTGATTTTTTTTTTTTTTTGAGTTGGAGTCTTACTCTGTCACCCAGACTGGAGTGCAGTGGCCGCTCCCAGCCACTGCAGCCTCGACCTCCGGCAATCCTTCCGCCTCGGCCTTCCAAGTAGCTGGAACTCCAGGCGCGCGCTACCATGCCCGGCTAATTCTTGACTTATTGTAGAGATGAGGTCTCGCCAAGTTGCCCAGGCGGGTCTCGAACCCA